TCACAGAGCACACCTGGGGTTTTTACTGTAACTGTACTGAGAAGATCTTAGTTTGTTTTCCGAAGAGAACGGATAATCTGGCGTGATCATGAGTTTGAACAAGGATTCTATCCAGTTCCACACACAAGTCTTGGATCATTCCGTTTTATGTTTATCAGTCACTTACCAAAAGCCACACTAAGATCGTTTCCCCAGATCGATATTATCACCTTCTTGATAAATAGATCGTGTTTCATGGTCGGGAACCTACCGTTCCAACTATTAGAACAAGTACCCATGCCTCGTAGAATTAAATTGGAAATAATGTGGATTTATTTAAGAAACTGAAAAATCAATGTTACATTTTATTCCTAGTATGCTTTCGAGAGTAATAAATACAAATATAGAAATTTCATACGAAAATGTTTCATGGATTATACAAAAGCATTTGATACGATATAACAATAGCAGGTCATTGAAATACTAGGAAAACTTGATCTGCACGGAAAATATATTCAATCTGTAGCTTCTACTGGGTACGAATAGCTTCCAAGCTGCTCGGGAAGTTCGATAAATACCCCAAAATAAATAAGCATCTTCGTTCTCAACAGATTTTTTTTTACTTGTACGCATTAAATAGCTACATAAAAAAAAAGAAAATAGAAAGAGACGTAGTAAGTCTGATCTATTCGATGAGGTCAAATTGGAAGCTGATTTAAAAAAATCACCTACAGTCTGTTGTTCACTGAGGCATAGAATGGTGTCTTAATTTTAACGCTTCCAATATAAAACTTCACTCTATCAATCACGTGAAAGACCTAACTCCCATAAGCATGGCTGATGCTAACCTCCGTGAGAGTGATTCGTTGTGCTTTCTCGAGATTACATTCTCGGCTGACATGAAGTGGAAAAATTATATTGAATCCATTGCTAGGTATACTACCAAGAAAGTTGTTTCGCTGTGTCATGCTAGAAAAAATTTTCTTCGCTGAATCTATCTTACATATTTATAAGTCTACCATTCGTTCATGCTGTGAATATTGCCGTGACATATCGTCCGGTGTTCCTGCTGTATATTTAGAGATTCTTAATAAAAACAGAGTAAGCAATATTATTGTCCCTAACCTGGCATATCGGCTTCAGTCACTTTCCAACCGCCGTAATGTAGCTTCTATGTGCCTTTTCTATAAATACTTTCATGGCAACAACTTGGATCAACTCTTCCCTACCATATATAAACTTTATGAATATAAGCAAAGTACTAGATTGAATTGGCGAGATGTAAGTTCTAATTTATCAGTTTATTTTCCCGCTCTTCTCTCTGTTCCGGCTTTATGCTTTCCAGTCAACTTTGATCTTCAAAAATTCAATTGCAATATCAATCGTTATCTACCGTCTTCTATTGTTCTCACTCCTTAATAATGTTTCTTTGTTTCGTATTTTTTCATACTTGTGTCTTAGTGGCTTTACTGCCTTCCATGGGGTGATATGATGTAAAAAAGAGAGACAAGGGTGTGACTTCTTTTTAAATTTATTCAATATTCACAACGATGCTATCATAAGGGAATTGAAGGTCCTACCCTATTGAGGGCGAGAAGCAGGAAGGCAGCTAGTCACCTGACGAGCATGCGTGAATGAATAACAAAAATCGGGACAGGATTCTTAGCAAAGAGAGAAAAACTGCTAAGAGCCACAAGGGATAGAATGTTTTAGAGAGCCATGATCATCCATGTCAAAAACAGATGCTGCACATAGAAGAAGATAGCGAGGCGATTCTTAGTGTTATATAAGATCTACTCGGAGTTATAATCGGTGGACATGACCTTAACAGCGTACACTATACAGATGACACAGTGATGAGGTCATATTCAGAAAGAAAAAGGAAGGAATTATTCGACAAGGTAACAGAGAAAAACACAATTAACCGTAATAAGACAAAATGCATTTTTGTAAGCAAAAGAGACAGTTTAAATTGGGAATTACACATTGGGAACGGTAAAAATCAGCAGTGCAGTAACAGATGACGAAAAGTGTGACACAGAAATTCGAAGGTGCTTAGGAATAACAAAAGATGGCTTTTAGAAACTGGAAAAACAAATAAGGGATCAGAAAACTTTCTTAGAAAGAATGACAGCTAAACTGCTCTGATCTTCTTTTGGGCATTGAATATTGGAAATGATTTTAAACAACTGGGATGTGGTCCTACCAGCGAATTCTGAAAACAGCATAGACGGAATATATAAGAAAACGAGGAAGTTTTAAGGCGAACAGAGATTCTACTGCTAACAATAAAAAAGAGAGAAATAATGAGGAAGAAATGTTGGAGAATTTAACACTCACATGGCGTGCTGAAGCAAGAGGAGTAGGAGTTAACAAACTTAAGCAGTTTCTTGATAGTAGACTCAGGCAAAAAAAGGCATGGGAAATGGGCAAGTTACTTAAAGCAGAAAAAAGATGTCGTAGAGAGCCATGATCATCAACATCCTGAAAGGATATAGCACATAAAAATAAATAGCCATATTTATTACAACGTTTCGGCCGTTGTATGCACCGGCTTTCTTCAGGTGGTTGGAATGTCGAACATAACCCTTTATTTTTCTCACTAGGGTAGCCTTTTAGTTCCACGTGCCATGTTTAATGGATGTCAGTTATCAGTTATCTCCTGTTAATTCCTCTCTCCAAATTCTCCACGGCCTTAACCGGGTATTGAACTCACACTCTTTGGGGCCTGTCACTGTGGATAAAGGCGTTAGTTAGATCCAGTGACAGGTCCCAAAGAGTGTGAGTTCAATACCCGGTTAAGGCCGTGGAGAACTTGGAGAGGGGAATTAAAAGGAGATAACTGATAACTGACATCCATTAGACATGGCACGTGGAACTAGAATAGTCTACCCTAGTGAGCGAAAGCTCACTAGAGTAGACTGGGTTTAGTTCGACATTCCAGCCACCTGAAGAATGCCGGAGCGTACAACGGCCGAAACGTTGTAATAAATATGGCGATAAAGATGAGGACATAGTCCGAATAATGTAAATAGTGTACATAATACCTCATCTCACAAATATAGACAGATAGAGACTTTTACTCTCGCTAGTCGTTCCATACTAAGTCTCAATTAATAACAAAACAACACAGCTGTGCGCACAACGAGGTAGAGTAATTTACTCGTGAGTTCATTCTTCACTGGGAGCTCCATAGTTTCTAGCCTTGTGCCAAACTAATCTAGGTTTTTTAAATATCGACATAGCTACGATGATTTTACCGCTTTCTCTTGTTGAATAAATATCAAATTTTTGATCATTTTTTTTTTTGTTTTTTTGTTGTTTTTTTTTTCAGCGATGAATTGATGCTGTCCCGGTGTTATTATACTGTACTCTAGTTTCCAAACAATCGCTGAAAACGTTAAATGAAAACATAATCTCCAGATTTTTCGAATGTATGCGCCACTTTCTCTACTTTTCACTCTGTTCGCCTTTGGTATTAACGTTGACCTCCGAAGCTAAACGCACACCTAATAAATCAGTGCGCCTGCAAATAAATGCATTTGTCATAATCTGTAGCGAAGAAGGAAGAAGGAAAAGATAGCGTCAAGTGAGGTAACGCTGTGAAGACTCATAATCAATTTAAAATAAAATAAAATCAATGCTTTCTAAGTAACACGATATGACATCTTGATGGAAAGGTAGAAATCAATCAATAACTAAGATCAAAGGAATTCCTGACATCTTTGAATGATCCATTGCTGAAGACAAAACACACAAATAAAAAAAAACAAACTAAAAATCAAGGAACAAAAAATCCAATTCAGAAAAGAAAACCAAAAAGGCAACTAGGAAAACAGTTCAGGAAAAAGACACAAAGAAAGAAAAAAGAATCATTAAAGGAATAGCATAAAGTTAAAGAAAGAAAAGAAAGAAGAAAAATGGAAATTGAGAATGAAATTACAACAAAAATAAAAAAGGAAGAAAAAAACTACAAAGGAAAGAAAAGAAGATAAAATAGAAAGAAATATTAAATAAATAAAATTTATAAAAGAGAGAAATTATAAAAAGAAAGAACAAAAATTTCTAAAAGAAAGAAAGAAAAAAGGAAGAAAAAAAAAGAAGAAAGAAAAAAAGAAAGAAAAACCAGAAAAAAGAGAATGTATAAAAGAAAAGAAAGATACATGTGAAGAAAGAAAATGATATTAACTTGAATCTTATAATCTGGAAGCTTTTGCTGACTTGTTCAGGGAAATGAGATTCGGGGGTATTTTATTAAAAAGTTCCTTCTTAGATTAATTTAGAGGCAATTGTATCGTTTAGAAAAAACTCTGTATTAGAAACGATTTTTATTATGATTACTTGCCACAAGAATGAAATAATGAAACGACAACCCAATAAGAAAAGAAAAAGAAAAGAAAACCAGAAAGGAAAGAGAGGAGGAAAATAGAAAGAAATATAATCATTTAGAGAAATAACCAAACAGTGTGTGCATGCACTCAACAGAAGTCTGGCGAGCAATAACTGAGTCATATTAAAAATAAGACTAGACGAGATATCTCGAGACATAGTCAGTGAAATGAGAACAGTCTACCCTCGTAGATTAAATAAAGGGTTTAATTTGGAATTCGGCAAGGTCTCATCATGTTACCGTTGAAATGGCTAGATGTAACCGTAAGTTCTGTGCTAACAGTTTTTCGAAAAAGGACGATTCCCCAACCACTTGAGTCTTAACCTCTTCAGATCTAGGATAATTTAATTGAATGATTAATTTATGTTTTACGGTTTATCAACGTTTGGCTGGTTATTTAAAGCCAGAAAATATTTTTTAGATTGTAAAAATTTGTGGAGATAATAAGGACATTACTGATTCCATCCTTACGAAATAATCCACTCCTGGTGGGGGTGGGGGTATATAAATTCATACCTTTCCCAAGGGTATTTGCGTGTAAATGAATAAACGAACCCAACTGGAATTCGAACTCAACTCTCCGATTACCAATTCCGAGGTAATATCCATTACACCACTCGTACATTCAATATGACAGCACCTGGTATTCCCAAGCGGTCGCCCATGTAGGTAGTGACGCAGCTTGATGCTGCTTAACTTCGGTGATCATATAAGAACCAGTGTTTCAACGTGATGGAGATGTAAACCTTCAAATCTAGAGTCAACCTTTACGTATTTTATATATGCTCATAATATTGGCCTCTTACTTTCTTTATGTTTTAACAATCTTTTCAAGTCTCTAGCTTGAGTGGCTATTAGGCCGTGACTTGTGTGAACAATGGTATAAAAATCATTTCCATTAAGCCCGCAAGATACAAGAGTAAAGAAATGTCTTAACTCTATTTTACAATGGCAGGCACGCAAATTGCTAAAGGTTTTGGCAAGCAAGTTATTTTTTTTTTGTTTTGTTTTTGCTTTCGAATATTGTAAATCGTCTTGTAAGCCTGTCGGCAGTGTTCGTTATTTCCTGTCATGTTTGATAAAGCGCCCAGTTTCGATCGAAGAGAAAGACAACTATAATTTGTTTTTGTGTATCCGTCCCTTCGTCAAGCGCGCCTATGTTTTCTTGTAAATGCAACCTCTCATCATGCGGATCATAAAAGAGAGAGAGAGAGAGGATGGATGTTCAAATAAATACTTGTTATTAGAAATTCTAAATTTCCCGAAGCGAGTAAGCAATTTTATTGTCTACGGCAAGCTCTCCCGGGATTTTGGCTGCAGAGAAAGAGATTGCAAAATGGTAGATGGTTCGCAGAGTAGAGTGTTTATTTTACTTATGCCGATAAAGTAACAAAAACGAAGATACAGTTATAAATACAGATTCATACACTGGCGCTTGTCCGGACTGGCGATAAATGAAATAACCGTTTACAAATAATCAGTACTCAGGTGATAATTTGCATAGGTCGTTATAATTCAAACACAGTAGCCAGGGAGTCAAAGTCACACATATACTTAAAAAAAAACAAAACAACCAAAACAATAAGAGATTTCAGTCAGTTATATGCCATGCGTGATAAACGCTTAGGCGATCATGTATCTTTCGATACATGACTGACCAGGCAGAGTTTTTCCCGCAGTAGGTTGCCATTTCTTTCCGCGGTATACCAGTTGCCATCTAAGGCTATAGAACCCGGTCTGCCCTGCGATTTACCCATAGCTGGGGGGAGAAGAAGAGGGTATCAGCACGTAAGTGTAACGTATAACGGTCTGGGTTTCAATTCTCGATAGTGGATGCGCATTGCTGATGAGTCCCAAATATAGAACGGAACGGCCGTCCAGTGCTTTCTGCATTCTGTTGAGGTTTCTTCTAGACTCGATGAATTACTTTATTACGATTATGTCAAATCCTCCTAATAATTTCTATCGCTTGTGTATCCTTTCTTGAACCGGCTTCTAATGCTCTGGAGGGAGCGGCTTGGGGATAGTAGTTGTGGCTCGTAGGGGCACAGTCCTATCGATAAGGGGAACTCGGATGATTTCTACCACGGAATATGTGATCGAGCGGCGCTATATTGAGTTTAATTCATTACCTCTACGTCACCGAGGTACAGATGATATGATGTTTGCCTGATATCGTAACTGTTCGGGTTTCAATTCTCGGTAGTGGATGCGTATTGCTGATGAGTCCCAAATATAAGACGAAACTGCCGTCCAATGCTTTCTGCACTCTGTTGAGGTTTCTTCTAGACCCGATGAATTACTTAATTATGTTATACACACGCTCCCTCTCTGATATTGAGCACTTTATTCCATAAATATAGCACACCTTAAGACTATATTTCTTTATATATATCTATATATATATATATATATATATATATATACGTCCCCGAGTCGAGTCGGTCGAGCACTTTGGAGAAAATGATATAATAATTATAATTTTTTAAAATGTATATACATTTTTGGACATATCATTTTTATATGCCTTTTGGTTTGTTGCCAGCCATGACTCGTAATATTGAAATGAGAATAGGGTCGATAAGGGGAATGGCAGAAGGATAAAACTGAGCTGTTTCTCAGACGTTGCAGAGGTTTTCCAAAGTGCCACTTACCCAGACAGAGCTTTTATATTTCTATATATGTAATTTTTATATAAATTATATATTATATATGCGCGGTATTTATTGGAAAGCGTTCAATATCAGTGATAGAGATAACATATTTAGTTGGATTGATTTGAATTTGTGAACCTGGGTTTCACAGCCCTGCGATCGTCAGCAGGTTTTTTTTTTGACGATCGCAAAGGCGTGAAATAATATAACATAGGTTTTATATTAAGAGTTTCTCTTGCACTTCGGAAAACCTCTGAGATGTGTGAGAAACAACTCAGTTCTACCCTTTTGCCTTTCTGCCCTTATCGACCCTATTGTCAATGTTACGAGGCATAGCTGGCAACGAACCAAAAGGCATTGGAACTACACGAGTGACAGTTTGTTCCGGGCCAGGTATAGAACAAAATTAACACTGGTGGCTGTTAATATAACCTACAACCTATGATCGGTTTTGTTGTCACATATTCCTAAAAGCCGCCACTCACGCATTAGCACTTCCGCTTAGAAGACATCAAAGAAGCCATCCATTTGCCATGAAACACAAAGACTTAGGTCCCAACCATAGAGTCACACACACACATACACAAACATATATATATATATATATATATATATATATATCTTCATAAACAAGTAATTCATCGAGTCTAGAAGAAACCTCAACAGAATATAGTTACGATAGGAGACAAAGGCCAAACCAATTGTACCAACGGTTCTCGGTGACGAAGAGGTAAAGAATTAGACTCGATACAGCGCCGCTCGATCATAAATTCCGTGGTGGAACTTCTCCGAATTTCTCTTTTATCCATAGGACTGTGCCTCCACGAGCTACGGCTACTATCCCCAAGGCGCTCACTCCAGAGCATTAGAAGCCGGTTCAAGCAAGGATATACAAGGAATAGAAATAATGAGGTGGATTTGAAATAATCATAATTAAGTAATTCATCGAGTCTGGAAAAAACCTCAACAGGATGCACAGTCCTATGAGTAAAAGAGAAACTCGGAGAAGTTCCAACACGGAATTTATGATTGAGCGGCGCTGTATCGAGTCTAATTCGTTACTACTTCGTCAACGTGAACTGTTGGTACATTTGGTATGGCGTTTGCCTCCAGTCGTAGCTATTTCGATTCTCGGTAGTCGATACGCATTACTGATAAGTCCCAAATATAGGCCGTCCAGTGCTTTCTGTAATTTGTTGAGGTTTCTTCTAGACTCAATGAATTAATTAATTATAATTATTTCAAATCCTCCTAATTATTTCGCTCTCTCTATATATCTATATGTGGAGAGAAGAGGAAAAACTATTCTAAGGTGACGCTTTAGTATATAAACCAGTGCAGAAAAATAAATCCTACATTACCTTAATAAAGTCCCTGAGAGGAAAATCTTTGTCTCTTCTGCAGATACACGTTAACTGATTATATATATATATATATATATATATATATATATATATATATATATATATATATATATATTATGTAACGTGCCCTTCCGGATGTTGGCAATCATGGCTCTTTACAATATCCTGTTCTTTTGTAGCTTTTTATAAATTTTCTCTTTTGTTATCATATTTGCACAAGATCTTTAGTTAGTTTATATATATATATATATATATATATATATATATATATATATATGAATGAATCCTTCCAGTCTTAAATAAAGCAGCCGTTCATTAGATATTATAGAGGGATACTACAGAATAATAAATAATTTATCAAATAGCAAAAGCACACCACTGGAAATCTCATGGCAGCAGCAACAACTAAAATTGATTCTACATGTGTATAGAATAGAAAATAATTATGTAATCGATATGTTGTCTTTCCACACTAACTTAAACGAAAGGTTAGGATGGAAACTCCCATCCGTACTAGAAAGAACGATAACAATTGGTTGGCATGAGAAGCTTATTTTTCTTAAAAAAAAACTCTTTTAAGAGAAAGATTTTACAAATTTCAACCGTGAGTAAGATTAACTCTTCGATCAATTAATGCTGAATGATTTCCTTTATGAAAATTAGGGCCTAAATTTATATCCAAAATTAAAACACAATTCATTTAAATATTTAACAATATTAATAATCCATTCTAACAATAAAATATCGCGCAATAACCAGAAATATATAAAGTGTCGATTATAGCTTTCCAATGTTCGTCAGGCTCATTAAAACGATTAACAAAATATACTATTGGTAAAACTAAAATAGCTAAAATGAATTCCTTTACTATAACTAAAATATATAATTTTCAAAAATCTCTGTGTAGGCCGAAAACAAAAAGAAAACATCTTGGTATTTTAATATTAATTCTAATAATTCTATATAAAAATATTTAAAAATAAATTCCGGACATTTAAGAAAAAAGAATGAGGTCAAAGTCTTTAATATGTTTGTCTGTTTATTGCCCCTTACATTTTTTATTGCTTTATCGCCTGGTTATCAAGTACCTGATGATAGAGTGCGTGTTTGTATATATGTCTATGCGTTAATGTTTTATGTATCTCCTTGCCTGTGAAATTTTAATTTAATTTATTGTACGTTTATGATCAGTATTTCTGATTGATATCATATTTCCTCAACACTATTCCAATCACACTCCTCATCCCAACCCTTCAGTCGACGAATTAAGGCTTCCACTTTTTTTTGTTTTCGTGGAATTTAAATCGGGCTAAATTTAATTGGACCTTTCTCAAAAGACACATTCCGCTATAAAAACCTTGTACTGTGAGGAATAAATTATTTAAAATAGACATTTAAAACAATAAGTTGAAATAAAAATGTGTTCTTTGAAAAACCGGACATACAAGTCATTAGAGATTTTTAAAACATTATTCATAAAATTCAAGCAAAAAATACATTGTATATTACGTATGCTTTCAGCTTCAATAGGGCACAGATTTTCGCAGCCCGACTAGCCACATTAATTTTATTTAAAAAAAAGAAGAAAGAAAGAAAAAATAAAGAAAGTAAAAAATGTTTGCTTTATTTTTCTTTCTTTCTTCTTTATTATGAACGATATCAACGAAATGTATTTCGGTTAACATTTTGAAAACAATTAATTTCGGATCCA